AGGTCCACTTTGGGGGAAAATAACAACCACAGGGGCACTTCTGATAAACACAGCTGAAACGCTGTGATTTAAAAAAGCATGGATTTTTCATTTGTAATGAATACCAGATATTTGAATATTACTAATCGCGGCAAACAGGGGGGAAATAATCTCTCCAAATTCCTGGCAAGTAGGTCAGCACGTTCAGATGACATGAGCGTGGAGACCCCCGATGTGCTCTCACTTGAGAAGGTCCCTGACAGCGAAGGGATGAGGAGACTGCTCACACAGCACAGCTGTGGATGAGCTAACTCTTCTCACACTGACATTTGGAGCCAAGAATATTTCAACGTTAGCATCTCCTAATGCAGTTTCATCTTGCTGGCTATAAAGCCTGTCCCGGTGCAAAAGAAACCTCTGTGATTTTCATGTAACTATGAGAAAAGAGCCATAGCTGTTTTTGTGTAACAGGATTTGTGTGGGCTGTTGGTAAGGGCACGCTGCTGATAAATAAGGTTCCGTTGTAAATATTCTCTAGTGACACGGGAATTTATCCACCTATTGAAGTTTACAACTGAGCTACCGAGGAAACATGTTCTTTAGCTCCGCTGTGTATGCAGCCCACAGTGCATTTATCAAACACCCTGTCAGTTCAGAGAAGGTACAGTTCAGGTAATACAGTATTTATGAAACTGTTAATACCACCTCAGAAAGTTCTCATCGAGTGTGTTTTTTAAAGCTGCCTTATGAAAACTTTGGATGAGGGGAAAGCAGAGGATATATTTTCAGTTTTATAGTGCAGGGCTCTGCTCTGTGGTCGCATGCAGTGAGGACGACACAACAGAAAGAGGTGCTTCCTAGGCACCGCACTTATTAATCATAAAGCATACAGTAAAAGCAGCGTAAGCAAATCAAACGCTATCTTTTGCAGAAGTGTTAGGGTTTAAGTAGGAATTTCAGATCCTCCCCTTCATCAGAAATAAGGATTATTTCCTCCTTCACCCATTCACCCGTCTCAGTTTACAAGCCACTGTCAGTGTTAGCCACTGACAGTTAGGCTCTTTGGGTGGGCACTTCTTCATCCCACTCCCATATCAGAGAGTCTTCATGGTCATTTGTCTTCTACCGCCTCTCCCATATTCCCTGGAAAACCCGGCAGCAGCCCTGCTCGCTCCCCATTAAAACCATCCTAGTTTCACCCTTCAAACCTTGCGATACTCTGACACCCTCAGAGACTCCTCAGCTCCTCAGCAAATGCACACTTCTGTATGGAGGAATGATCCCAACATGGTCCTTGAACAACCCTATGTCACCTCAGAAAGATAAATTTAAAAAAATCCTTCATTTTTAAATTTTTCTGTGTTGTTTTGTTTGGGCGCTGGAGCCTGTGAGCTGAGGCTGCCAAAGTGGCTTTTGTTGTTTCGGCGGCTGATTTTCTTGATTGTTGGTGATTGATGATGGGAGAAGCTTTTGCACAACCTTTAACGTTTGCGTGAAGGGAGGGAGGAAGAGAGGAGAAAGATTTTCCTGGTGTGCATTTATTTATGTTAAAAAAAAAAGAAGAAGTATTTTCTGCACCGGTGGCGATCCCAGCAAGATTCGCCGGAGTGGAGCTCCCTCTGTTGAGCTCTGGGAGCTTCGCCAGATGGCAAATAGAGCTGCCCGCTCCATTTTTGGGGTAGCTTCATCTCCAGGCCCTTCCTTACCCCTCTCCCCTCCCTGCGGTCCACCTGAGAGAGAAAAAATGGCAATGGAAAAGTCCTGGGAGTGGGACGTCTCTGAGCTGTGACCTGCCTGGTGTCTGCCAGGAGGAAACCCAGCTCGGATGAGTTGTAGCAGAACTGGACCATAAAGTCCTCTCTGGGGCCGAGGTGGGAGAGGGTTTCTGCTAAGGAAACGCTTGAGTCGCAAGGGAAGGAGCCAAGAAGAAAGAAGTGGAAAGGCTGGGAGGCAAACCAAAGGTATCGGGCCGGGTAGCAGAGTTACAAAGGCACCACTGGAAAATGTAAGCTGTCCCCTGCTTTGTCAGCTTCCACCAGAAAAGATCAAATGAAGCAGTTACAGCAGAGATTCACGTTATGGGCTTTTTATGCAATACTTTTTAGTAGTTTCCCCCAAATGTTCTTTTTTCTTGCCGTGACCTACAGCATAAAGAATTGTGTAAAATTCCAGGGCTGTAAATGCTGCCATTGTGGAGGTGAAGGAGCCTGAAAAAACATAAGGCTCTCAAAATTGCACAGCGGGCTGACTTTTAACTCATTTCTTTTACCAAAAAATGAGCAAGGACTGGGTTCTGGCAGGCGGCTGGGAAAACCAGGTCATGGTCCTGACCGAAGCGGTGTCATCTGGGGAGTAATCAGTGAGAGATTTCATGTTTCTTTAAAGGATTTAAGACACACTTTGAATGGAGAACACAAGGCAACCTTAAATACACAACTGCTATAGTGCCTTGAATATAAGGTTTTGTTTTATGTTTCTCCGTCGCCTCGAGGGAGCTCCTATTTGTTTTACAGTGTCTCTCTTCGTGGCTCTGGCAGGCTAAACGCAGCCAACTTTGCCGTCTTTCCTCCTTGAACTGCTCAAGTAGCACATTGCAGTGAGATTGCCCGTTCAAGTTGCAGCAGCAGATGGTTTTTGCCATTACTTGTTTTCTTCTGCGTTAACGAACCGCCAGCTCCTGAAGCCCTCGCTCGGGATGTGCTTGGTGGCCCTTGCCTTGGCAAGGCAGGCAGTCGGGGCGGATTTTGTCTGGTGGTTTCTCGTGAAGCCACGTTGCACACTTGGGTTAGAAGTCCTCTTGGCTACTGGTTGGCACTTTTTGTAGACCGACTCCTGCTCTGAAACGTCTGCATGCAGCAGCTGGTCCATTCACCAGGATCCCTGCGCAGGATTATAAGGGTAAAATTTGGCCCTTAGGATCCAGTGACTGTTTTCTGCCTGAAAGGTGAAAATTTTTAGTTTCAGATTCTCAGAGCGTAGCTAGGCTCTGTAAAGGCTATGGCCAGCACATGAGAGATCACTAAATATTTTCCTTGGTAGAGGCTGCCAGCCATTCAGCTTTGTTTCAGAGGAGATTAAATGTAAGATAAAGCTCTATATTGTGTACAAATTTTCTATACATCCACGCCGCTTCATCAAGATTAACTGGATTAAAGCAGTTTGACTGAAACCAGAATTTGACCTACAATGCCAGCAGTGTGTTGACAGTACCACTTATTAAAGAGCAGAGAGTCTGGAAGCTTTTGGGTTTTGCAGAACACGAGGGACTTTGTGCTGACACGGTTAAACAGCTGGCTGGTGTTACCCCCTGATTCTCTGGGCAGCGATAGCTGTGAATTCACTGCTAGAAATCCAACCTGACCCTGAAAATCACATGTTGTTTAATAGGAGTGCGTGTAGTTTGAGAATACTTTGCTTTAAACAACGTGTTGCTAGGAAAAAGAGATCTTTGAACGTGTAAATATTGATAGATGCTGAGTGGCGGGCTGAAGCAGTGCGAGATGTGCAGAAGGTGTGAAGCTATTTTAGCTGCGATTGCGAGATTGGATGAGCTCAGCATGGGATGGTCTTGCATTCAAGTTTTTAAACTTATTAAGAGAAACGGTGTTGAACTGTAAAACTGAGCTCTTATTTTGGTCAAGCGGAGAATCCCAAACATACCTATGTGACAAGCTGTGTAGTGGAAATCCTGCTGTTTCTTTCTCAGTTGTGCTGCAGGCAAAAACTGCATTTGCCAAGGGAAAGTTTAAAACATTCTTTAATCTTGGTGGACCTTGTAAGGACCTTTAATCAAGATGGACCTTGTAAGGTAAAATGCAGGTTGGGCCTGTTTGCCGTATAAACTACAAAATAACCTTGGGAGACGCTGTTCTCTTTAAAGAGCAGTTTATGCTCCATTTGCCCATTGCTGAAGAAGATTAACAGCATCCTTTGCTGTTCTGGGGTGATGAACGTCGTTGTTTCCCGTTCTTTGGGGAGCAATGCCGACGTGCTAGAATGATGCTGTACCTGCTTGCCTTCATTTCGTCTCCGTCTGCTAAGCGATTCCCGTGGTATCTTCGTGCTAATTGCAAAAGTCACTTCTGGAAATGGCAGATAGGCTCCTAAGCTGTTTGGGCGCTTCCTCTCCATGTATAAAGACCATCTCTTGGGAGGGCGTAGAGGTGTTCCCAAGACCTCCCAGCACCTCAGAACAGTTTTGGAAAAGGATTTCACCTCCTACTCCAGGTAGGAGCTGTGCACGGCTCAAGTGTGCGTTGTCTGCACGTATCCTCAGGTGTCTGCAAGGACTGCAGCGCTCCGCAGCACCGTCAGCCAGGATCTAACCGTTATGTCCAAGTCCTCAGTTAAATACAAGAGAAGAGCTTTATTTAAGAGGTTTTATTTTTATTGTAATTAACCACTATTTATATGCCGCTATAAATAAGCATGACACTATAAATAAGCATGACACTTTCCAGGGTAGATAAAGTATTACGTTCAGTTTTCATTCTTCATGGTGCTGTTTTTATTGTCAGCTTAACTGCTCTGATTCTCAAAGTTGATTTCAAAAAGGTTGTACCTGCAAACTGTGATTTTTCAGGCTTTTACTGATGGTTCACACAGAGCTGACTAAGAGCACATCGCCGGTTTTTGTCTTTGCTACTTTGTGCAAAATTAGATTCTCTATGATTAATTTTTCGTATTACTAGCTTTCTGTGAAAGCAAATGCTGCAGTGTCACCGTCGTGATCTGTCAGGCCAGTGGCCCAGGGGCAACAGTGCTTCTGAATGGCTGTACGTAAGACAAACCGTCTTACATGGAAGACAAACCACGTTTTAAGAGTTTTTGCAGTGAGATGCAACGATGATTTATGATCTGTCATCCTGAAAGTTCCTCTCGAGGACAGAAGCCGCTAAAAACTCTGCAGGTCACAGATCTGACAGTGGTACACATTTGTTATAACGGCGCTGGCTAAAGTTTGCCCCGGCCCCTGTTTCTTCAGCTCATTGCACGTGCAAGTGCTCTCTCTCGCTCCCTAGGGCTGACTAAGAAGGGATCCATCCACGCTCGTGATTTCAAGTCGCTCTCGGCTGATTCGAATGGGTGCTTTCGACGCCAAGATCCGGGTGCAGTCCTGCTGATGGATGCTCCATCACGCAACCCCCGTCCTCGCCGGCACAGCTGCTGCCATTTCTGCGGAGCTGTTACGGATGGCAGGGTACCATATGCTGAAGCGTCGCCCAGCCTGCTCACGGGGAGCTCCCTACTAGTTGGAAGATGTAAATGCAGCCCCGTGCATCGCCACCGAATCTCCGCTTGCGTAGATTGGGAGATTCAGAGTAATGTGCGACGCTTCAGAGTAATGAAGCAAAAAATTACCAGTATGTGTTTTAATTATTAGTTATGCTCTGTAGTAATAGTTTGTGTTCAATTATAGTTTACCACTGAGCTGTGCATCCTTTTCATTACTTTTTCCTTTCTGTGTCTTTTCTTCTTTATTGACTTTTGATTTGCTTTGGATGTTTACACTTGATAGTACTTCATGAAGGAGATGAATGTGTATTCATTCATTCAGAGGAACAGACTCTTCAGATATGTATTTGGAGGATGGGGCATATGGAGATGTTGGAGAAATTTGAAGAACTACAACAAGCAACATGCCAGTGTGTTTTGCTAAAATGACTGAAGTACAGTCTAAAAAAAAAAATAAATTACTGTCCCTAGTAGTGCTCTTATCAGGCTGTTCCAGCAGCGTGTTCTGAGGCTGTTTGGCTTCATCCATTCCTGCTCCACCTCTAGCTCTGACTATGAACAAGACCCATGAAGCGGAAAGAAGGAGGAGTTAAACACTCCTCCACCTTTTGCATCTCCCCAATTCCTTCATCCCTTCATCCCCCTGAAGCGGGGGTCAGGTGAGGGTGCCTGCCTCTCACGGGGCGTCCCCACGTGCGGTGGAAGCCCTTGCAGCAAAGAAGCTGAGGTTTCCCTTCTTTGCACAGCTTGAGCTGCACAAGGCAAGAGCTGGGGCGAGGGAAATTACCCTTCAGCGTTAACGTGGCTTTCACACAGCAGAAAAACAATCTCCTGCTCTGCTCTTGCAGAGAGGGATTGTAGCCGGAGCCTCAAGAGGTTTCTTGGGTTTCAGGAGTCTGAACGCAAACTCGGTTTGAGAGGAGGGTTGGATCATAGCATTTCTGCCTGCGTTTAGTCGCTGGAGGCCTTCCCCCTCTGTATTTTATTTTTGATTTCTTATATAACGCAACATATTGATGTCAAGGAATGGTCTTGGACTTTCCTCCTGTGGGTTTGTGAGCCAGCAAATCCGGCCAGCCTCTCTGATGATTTTCCACCTGGGGCTTTGATGCTGTCTTCGGTGTACACCCTCCCTCGTTGTGCAGAGGCACAGAAACGGAAGGCACGCTCATCTTAGACATCCAGGCTCTGTTTGCTCTCTCAAGAAAAACTGGTTGCATGGGGAAGCTTTTATTTTCCCTTCCCAAACAGTGTGAAGTAGGAAAAGCATGTTTTGTAGGCACTTATTTTGGGCAAGCATCAGACCTTTTTCGAAGTAGTGACCTCCTTCACCAACTATCGCACGCAGGAGCTGGCAGTCTTTGACCCAAGTTGGAGCATATTTCGTTGCTTTCGAGCATGTTGGGAAAATGTCTCTTTTCTGCAGCTTTTGAAAACTTAAGCCCTACTCTACCTGTGCAGCTTACACTCTACACAGCTTTCTACGGGGAGAATTTATTTGAAACAAGCATGTCTGGTTTTTTTCCCCCTCCTTTTGTTCTTCAGGATACGTAATGAAAAATTCTCCAGCGTTGCCACTTAATTGCTTCATGGCTGTTGTTTGTCAATTTGCCAGCAGGTTTCTGCTTAACTGCTGCCATTTGACATTGCTGAAACACAAATGCAGAATGATTGAGTTGCCAACATATCATTGAGTCTTCTGCGAGGGGGGTTTTCAGCATATTAACGCTTCAGGCTTTTACGTCAGTATTGATTGCTGAAATAGAAAAGAAACCTTTGGCAGAATTCAGCACCGTGCCAATGCGCATTTACTGGCAGGAAAAAGAAACTGGCCGTTGCCTTTGACTGTGACTTCATCCCTTCCTTCCTTCCTTCCTTTCTTTCTTTCTTACATTCTTTATTTCTATACACACCCACACAGAGTTTTGAAATTTAATACACATCATAGCCGAATTCCAGCTAACCTAACAATAAATCAACAGGACAAATCGATTTCTTGATACAGCCAGATGCGGAGGCCGTTTAATTTTGCAGCCGCCTGCATTATGCCCGACCAGATTTCGTGGCAGCTGAGGAAGGGGGGTGATGGCAGGCACCCGTCAGAGCAGGAACGCAGGTCGAGAGCTGACGTGGAGAGGGGATGGTGGGCTGGGGGTCTCCGCCGAGCTCCTCGCGGGGCAGCCAGGCTGTCCCCGCTGTGGTCCCCCAATGCAGGGATGGCCGTGGTGGAACCGGGCACCGTGGGAAGAGGAGCAGCACGATGCTGCTGGGAAAGGGAGTTTTCCTCCTGGGACATAGTATTGCAGAAGACCCCGAGGTGGGGCCCCATGGCTGAGAAGGGGCTTTGGCTGAGGAGCAGGGATGGAGGGGATGGCGAGGGGGTAGCGCGGTGGCTGGTGGAGAAGGAGGGTTTGCTCTGCTGAAGCAGGGAGCAAGAGGAAGGTGCAAGCGCTCCTGCAGTTGCTGGAGGAACATCTCTATGTTCTTATCGCTGCCCTCCACCAAATTCGTTGCCTGGCTCTGCTTTTCTTTAGTCTGATCCCTTGGATGACACTTTGCAGCCTGTTATAGATCGGAAGATTTTGTAAGAAGGACCACCTGGGCATGCTGCAGATGATGATGTCTGACCGAAGTGTCGTTGCGTGGAAGAAGGAGCTGAGGGGAAATAGGACAGGGCGTGGGGCAGAGATTTTGAACAGAAAATGGGAAAGCTGTGCTCCCCGGCAGCACTTGGGGGGTTTGCATGTGAGTCGGAGATCAGTCCTGGCCAAGCCCCTTCCCTTTGAATTGGGGGGAGTCAAGTGAAGAAAAGGGGGGTGATTAGGCCAGAATTGCACTGCACAAAGATTTGACAAAGAGGGAAATAATCATGGGAAGATTTCTAAGAATTACCTTACTGTTGATGGGGAGTGGCATTACAACTAGCAAACAGCAGCAGTGATCATTTTTCTTCTATTTCTGAAATATGCTTAATGCTGCCTCCCTTCAGATACAGTTAAGAGGAGCTTTCTGAATCTGATTTGCTTTTCACTTACTGATTAACCAAAGGTAGGAACAATAATGGGGAGCTTCCCAAAATCTGCTTCTTAGGGACCAGGATTCATTAATATAATCTGACCATTGAAAGTCCACTGAAAGCTGGACCTTTTGGCCAGAAGATATCAGCAAGGAAGCTTCAAGAGTTTATTTTGGGGTTTTTTTTGGTAATTGTGATACTGAATTTCTCTCTTTGGTTGATTGGAGCAGATGCTTAGACATTTAGAACAGGAAATGTAGCTTTATTTGAAAAGGGTTAGAGGACTCTGTTATTTCTTTACCTCTGCCTGGACCACAGTAAATGCAAGCTTTACCTGGGATGCTTAAATCAAAATGGATACTTCTGGCCTTATGGAAAGGCGAGGAAATGTCCCAATTGCAGTAATTTTTCAATACGACATTGTCTTTTCACGAAACAACATGTTCAATTTAAAAAATGCCTCTACAGATTTTTTAGTTGAAAAGCTGTGGCTCAGAATTAGAAAAGCTGTAGCTGACAATTGAAACATTTTCTTTTGGAAGCACCTTCCCCCTGGCCGTTGTAGTTTAAGTACCTCATGTGCAAATCTTCTTTGTGTAGGACAGTCCGCGGATGACATGGTCCATTACTGAGCCCATGGCAGAGAACAGGAACACAAGCACCCAAACTGCACATTCCCTGGGGTGCCACATTAGGGTCTCCAAATAAAACAGTGCCAGATTTCAAGTGAAAATTTTTGTCTTGCAGTTTGTTTGTTTTGCTTAAAAGTCTGCGTTTTCATCAGGTGAAGGTATAAACAGGCACCTGTATCATCTTCTAGCCAGCTCAATTAATTAGCAAGAAAAGCCCAGCATGTGTTGCATAAAAATTTCATTGATGATGTGTGAGGCTGAATAAAATCCAGTTTCTTTTCCTGTATTCCTGGGGACTGTTGACTTTTTACACAGTAAAATGAGGCTTGGGAAGAGAAAGTGGTTAAAAAGTAAAGAAAGCGATCCGACCTTGAATTGCTACAAAGATCTTGGGAATAGCAAGGCTGGCTCCAGAGTAAGTGATACGGAGCGGGTTTGCCAGGCGTGTGCCTGGATCAGCAGCGGTTCAGTGCGCACCTGGCAGAAGTCTTACTCGGCGTTTGATAAATTGTCTTCTCCCAGCATGAGTTAAAGTAATGAATCTTTCATTTCTAAATTACTACAAGGCTCCGTAGTCTTTCAGCTTAATATTGTTTTTCTGGTTTCAAACAGGTAGTGCAATCTATGCCTTACCTAAGGAGTTTGATGGTATTGTATGCTTAATCTTTTAAAATGCTAGGGAGAGAGGCAGAGCTTTGGTGTCAAGGGAAATAACCATCCTGGCAGAGAGAAGAATATCAGTCGGACATTGCCACTGGTTTGGGAGAGACTGTTTGATGCTTGCTCTGTTAGCCGGCTGTTGATTTTCTTTCCGTTTTCACACTTTTTTTTTGTTACATTTGAAGGTGCTTCCAAAATGCTGGCCTTTAACTGGGTACCTTCATTCAGATACGGCAAAATCCGAGAGAATAGAGAGAAAAAAGAGAAACTGCAAATTGGTAATGAGAAAACCGAGAGCTGGGGACACATCTGAATGAAATTAAATCCCCATCCGGACGACACAGGTAGTGCTCTGCAGAGCCGTGCCTGTTTGCCTGCCTCCTTCCCTGTGTGCTGTAGGCAAGAAGATCTGTTGCACGTGCTTTCCAAGACCTGCACAGCCACTAAAGCCTTTCCTAATAAAATGAGTAAGTTAACGCCTGTGTGTGAAGGCGCACTCGAGATACTTACTTTTTGAACAGCGTGGTATCTGCCTGCCGCAGCGACCATCTGGCACCCAGAAGCAGCCGGCGGAGGCTGCGGACGATGGGCCGGTGCTTCTCCTCCTCCTCCTGCCGAAAGATGCAGGTGTAGGAGCGTAAAACCTGCCCCACCGGAGCAGGTCCATTTAATGCACCCGTCGGGAGCGAAAAATGCCTCTGCTTGTTGCTTTAACAAATACCGTAAAAAGTCATCCCAGCATCTCATTTTCTGGCTGGGGTGGGGAAATGGAGTGTTTCTCCCTGCGGAAAGCATCCGAGTGCTATTCTTACGCACAGGAATGTCATCCAGAAGTACAGGCATAAAAAACACCTGGGGGAATACCAGGGTGTTTTATTAAACATACCTTTACTTTTTCATTGTTCCTGTAGGACACCCCATTGACAACCCGTGTACAGAGCAGGGAACAGCCTACTCGTAGGCGTAGATATGCAACAGAAAACCATGTCATTTTTATAAATACATCTCTGAAAAAAAGACTCCTAGGAAAGGTTGCCTTTACAGAACCCTTTTAACATCCCCTGTGGTACGTGCTGCTACGTATTTGCGCTGAGGCTTGCAAGCTGACTCTTAGCGCAAGCTAAATGAAATAAAAAATGGGATAGGATAATACAGCGATATACCTTTTCTCCCCCAGTAAGGGTTAAAGAGCTATTATAGGGCCAAAGCAGCAGGCAGCTGTGTCCAACACAGTTACCCGCTGCTCTGTGGGATTCTGCAAGGAGGGGAGCAAGTATCCAGGGAGAGCAAGGGCAAGGGCTGCATAAACCAATACTCCCTCCAAGAAATTGTCCATGCAGTCGCAGCCAGGGTGAGATAATCTTGCACTGGGCCAAAGTGAACTCTGGGAAGTATTCTTCACAATCAAGTAGTTTCTATCAAATAGGTTTCTTGTTTCTATCACACCAAACTTTTCACTTTTTAGGCTTTTTTGCACTTGTGCTGTGATTTTGTAAAGTTTGTTTCTTTCTTTTAATGAGAGTGAAAGCCTCAGAGCTGTTTTTAGTTCTAAAAGAAAGATTTGAGGCATTCTGCCTATTCCACTTTTCCACAGGGACATTAATTCATAAGCAACAAAGAATATCGTAACTGTTTACAGTAGCCCTCAGTGAACAGCGTGAGACTTGGGGATTTTGAAAGAAGTAAGAGTATTTGGTTACAGAATCAAAAGCTAAACTAAAAGCTTCAAACTCAAAAATGTTTGGAGTTGCTCTAACAAACGCAATGAAAAATTTTCAACTTCCCAACTTTTAGAACCATGTGAATCTTCAAGCTTGTTTTGTTTGGTTTATCTTCTGAGCCTCAGAAACCAAAGCAACCCTGAAGGTCAACATTGTCTAATATTTTAACCTTAGATGTGTCGAGTTTTGCTTGTTTAAATACATAGTCCTGCTTACACAGGATATTTTGCAAATTAACAGATGCTGCTTGATGGTGTAAGAGGTACCACGGGTTTCATCTGAGCTTCAAGAGAACTGCAATGCCTCCTCTGATGTAGCACACTTACCTTCTCATTCTTACCATCGTGTGCATCCTAGTTTTCCTGTAAAGTCCAGGGTATAGCGTTATGTAGCACTCAGCTGCAGTCGTTGGGGTAATTTGGTCATGGCTGACCAGTTTGCCTCTAGCTGAAAGTGACTTTAAGAAGGAAATCAGTGCTGGCTTGAGTTTGCTTAAAGCTGTTGCATATTTTGTTTCCCCAGAGCGTTTCGCAGCTTCCCTATGGCAAAGCCCTCTACACGTATGAGGGGAAAGAGCCCGGTGACCTCAAGTTTAACAAGGGAGACATCATCATACTGCGGCGGAAGGTGGATGAGAACTGGTACCACGGGGAGCTCAATGGGAACCACGGCTTCTTCCCCGCCAGCTACATCCAGTGTATCAAGCCCCTTCCACAAGCTCCGCCTCAGGGCAAAGCACTTTACGACTTTGAAATGAAGGATAAAGATCAAGACAAGGATTGCCTGACCTTCACCAAGGTAGGGGAATAGTTCTGGGGTTTTAGGGTTTTTTTAAGAAAAAAGCTTAGAAAGCTGCTTCTGTAGGGATGGATGGGGCACGTGGGGTGCTGGCAGCCGAGTGTGGAGCACAGCGGTGCTGGGACCGGTGGGACATCTGCCTGGCAGCTCTGCCAGGGACCCCCTGCTCTCCCTTTGTTTCTTTCAACTGGTTTCTTGGATGAAAAAGTGAAAATCCTTGAGCTCAGACAGCCCAGTGGGGACAGGCTGACGGGGCTGAATTCTCTTTATTAAGCGGGACGTCCCCTCACGTAACATGCTGAAGGACATTGACTTCTCCCGACTTGTAAATAAATGCTCCTCCCTGCCCGGTGGCCCTGCAATGTCCCGCACACCAGCTGAGCTGCAGGACTGGGTGGGTGTGAAGCCATCCCTCGGGGCAAGCTCCTCGTTAGCATCCTTGGGAAATTGCTCCCATTTTGTCTAAAGGAGAAGCCAGTGAGATAGCTCATGCCAGATACAGCCAGGTTGGTATAAAGCCGGTGAAACTCAACAAGTAGAACTGGCCACACGGTTTCTGAGAATATTTTTCTGTCTAAAAAGCATGCATTTCGTCTGCATTGAAATGTTCTGCAAGAATGACTCAATTTCAGAAAAAATCTAATGGAAATGTGTCTTCTAATGTTCCTTATTGAATCAGATGTTCCAGTGTTTTAAAATGCCATTCAGCTGCAAAATGTATATTGCATCATACCGTCTACCAATTAGCAGCTGAAATACGCTATCGTCATATATCACAGTATTTCCTATTTTAAGAACATAAAGACATTAAAGAGCAGACATTTAAAAAACAGTCTTTGGTTTTTTTTAAACCAAAATGTTTAATAAATTCCAGTTGGAATGAGAGAAAACTGAGATATTGTAATTTCCTTTGGATTTAAAATGTCACGTTTTCCCTTTCTCCCCCACCTCCCCACCTGCTTTCTGTCTCCCCCTCCCCTCCCTAGCAATTTCTGTTGACCTTAGATGGGCTTCATGGATATCAAGAAACCCACAGTAAAACAAAACATATCCCCTAATGTTAATTTATGACACTGAATGCCATGGAGAACCTGTTCGTTGTCATCTTCTGTTTTATTTCAGCTGTCTGTGGTTGTTATAGTATCACATAAGGTAATAACAGTTATGCTGGAAATGAATATGAAATAGATGATAAAAATATCCTTCACCAGGATTTTACTGACCTCGTCTTTTGAGGCTACCTATTATGGCTGAATGAATTATTTGCAGCATATAATTTTCTCACCAAATGTAACATCTTTTTCACTCGTTCAACATTTCTCAGCAGAACGCAATTTCCTAGAATGTATACTTTCTCATACTTATTTAACAAAAGATTGTAAGCACTTTTGCTCCATAGCAAGCGAAGCGTTTGATTGCAAACACCGCAAACCCTGCCACTGCCCAGCCTCCCTGCAGCTGTGAATCTCTGCGAGAAAGTGGGCTGCTTAGGGAGAAGTAGCAGCCACGCACTAACAGAAAGTTAGCCAGAAGTTACCTTTGAGATCCTATCAGTAAATATATGTATTTACTGGCACATTGTTTTCCTTGCTGCTTGCGCAGAGGTACAATGGTGAATTCTCTGAGAAGCAATCTTGTCCACTTAAGGTATTCATTGCTTGCTCCAGCTAAGAAATTTAATAGGTATGGAGGGCAGTTGTGGTCTTTTTTCTTAGAGCTGGTCCTTTCCTAGACTTTTGTATTTGATATATTTGGTGCCATATATTAGTATACCTCCTTCACAATAACTGTCTTTGTATACTGATAGTTCTTATTTTCTCGGCTGTCCAATGCCATTCTCACATGGAGCATTTCTTTCTGCTGTATAGCTCTAGTCTCAATCCCTCAATTTTCCTTTATTTCACCCCTTGTGTTACTGTCTGCATCCTTTTATCCCTGATGACTGTGTTTTCCCCAAGGGGGTTTGGTTTCTCTTCTACTGCTATTTTCTTCTTTAGCTCCTTCCACTACACGCACTGTCACCTTGTAACTGTTTTTATGTCTTGCCTATTGTTCTCTCTGACAGTGAATAATCTATTTTTTATCTCGGGACTTTACCGTCATGTTTTCATCAGTTTTCTCAATGCTAATTTTAGCTGTCACCTGCGCTGATGATGGTTCCTGTTTAGCCCAGATTTTAGATCATCTGCTGATGCAGTCAGTTCCTCTGCACAGAGTCATGAGCACTGCGTTGCTGTAGATGTGATTTGTCACTTGGAGCAATATTCATCATTTGAATGTCTCAGTTTGCATCTGAAGGTGCTGGACCTGATCTCAATTTCATTTACTCTATTTGTTCTTTCCTCAGGTAGAGGGGTTGCATCAGCATACCACTTATACAAACTAGTATAACCTGTTTGTGTCCTGCAACTCATTTAACCCTACCAGACACTTGTAATTGAATTTTACTTATATAATAAAGAAGACTTTTCCTCTGAAGAGAAACTAAAAGAAGGGAACTCAGACTTAGGGATCTTCTGTATCATTATGTTTTGTTGCTTTTCTGCTGGACCTTGCTTTTTCCCATCCTCTTTGTTACAATGCAGTCTGAATATCTGTTGGTGCAGTAAAAGAAAACAAAGGAAGGATATTAGGGTTTTCCTCTTACTAAGGGTTGGGGTTTTTTTCTTCCAAATTAAGATGTCCTTTTGCTCGAGAGGTGGATTGCAAGAAAATCAAGTCTGCTTTATGCTGATCTTCATGAGCAGTGCTGCAGAGGGCTTCTGCCATTTACCCATTTTCATCTCCTCTAGACGCAACACTCTCCAGATAAAAGGCCAAAGATAAATCAAATGTAATAATTTTGTATGTGTAAGTATAAAACTGGGAGGGACAGAGAAACCTCTGTCTTGAGTATCCAGTGCAACAAAGAAAGCTCCAACCTGTCATTTTCTTACACCATGAGGACTGCTCCCCCTAATTCCTCCTCCCAAAGCAGCCGTATGTACAGGTATAGGGTCCCACCACTGTTCCCTCCTCTGCAGTGCCTACAAGAAGACAAAACATCCCAGATCTGCAACTTAACGTATTTTTCCTCAGTGTTTAGCAGTGATCAACCAAATCAGTTGGTTAGCAGTTATTTTGCTCTCTGTAACGACGGGTTCCAGCCCCGATTCAGCTTCGCACCGGTTTAACTCCAGCAGCTTCAGAAGTGTTACTCCTGATGTTCACTAGCGTGGTTGCAGTCAGCGTGTGGCCTGCAGACTCTCAATGTATGCCCTTGGGATATACTCATTTAACTCAGCTTTCTAATGTCTCCTTATGTGATATCCCAGCATGAGCCTGGGCTCCCGCTGTCTCCGTTTTAAAAAATAACCCGTCCTCCCTTGGGCTACGTGCTCTCTGGTAGAAGCCATGCGCAAGAAGACTCTGCTCTTAGCTATAATGGTGCAAATCTGGAGGAATCGCATTATTGTCTGTCTGTGCAGTTACTCCAGGCTTAGACCGAGTCCAAATTCAGCCCACAGTTTTGTTTTGGTGTTGGACCACCCTTTGCATGCATGAGTTCACGTGGCCCTTTGAAGGCTCAGTGGTAGATGACTCTCAAACCTGTCAAGGTAACGTCAACTGTTGCCCGTGCTTTATGGCTCATCGCATTTTTAATCACATCGGCTATTTCCTTCTTTTTCCAACACTTTTATTCCCAGCCCACAGCGGCGTTTAACAAGCGTTGTGCCAATCTTGGAGCCGTCACATCCAATACTGGTTCCTGGCTGCGGATCGGCATCCCAGTCCCTTAGCGTTCAATTCCAGCAGCATTTGCTGGTCTCAGAGGGACCGTCCCGGCGGTAGCTGGCGATTGGGATTCTCGCGCCAGCTGGCGAGTGTTGTCATTGGGCGCACCGAGCACCGCGCGGTGCCATCCTGCCGTCGCTGACATCTCCCCAGTGCTCTAGATGGAGTTGTTATCTCTGCAGAATAGCAGGCGCATCTGCTTTGTATTGCTTCGTTAATGGCCGTTAATGACTAGAGTGAAAGTCAGGCTGTGAATCATGACTGTTACAGGACACAATTTTGTGCTGTTTTCTCAGCAAAAGGGGTCATTTCTCCATCAATCAGATTGCTTTTTAAGTGATTTATCTTTGACTACCTTTCTGATAATGGTTATAAACTGGAACTGCAGGTCCCACGTGCCTGTTGCAAGGCTGCCCGGTCCTGATGAATAGAGAGAGATGTGAGCGAGTAGGAGAGAGCAAATAATTAGAGACTTTAGCAACAGGCATTAAAAGAGCATGAGGTACCTTTGTCAAACTACAGTGGATACCATTGGCTTTTGAAATGAGATTTGAGGCTTGGATTCCTTTATGCTGCCTGGAAATCAATTTAGTACATGTGAAATAGTGAAGTTCAGAAAGTTGAAGTGGTATGCCAAGAGATCTGTGGCTCTTTACTATTCATGATCCTTTGGGGAACCTTTCGAGGAATTTATAAGTAGCACGGCTATCCAACTAATTTAAGGTACTAAAATAGTTCATGTTGAAGCTTTCACCAGCCCAGCGTATAGAATGATGTCGTGGGCTGCGAATTCAAAGAAACTTTCTATTAATAAAGAATTTCAAAAGATGTTTCAGGATTTGCTGTAATTCCTGGAGATTTTCAACACCCTTCTGAAAATGAAATCTGTAATGGAAAGCATTCTCAAGGATTTGCACGTTGCTCTCCCACAAAGTACACATTTTGAATGTCAGCATATCTTGGGATGTGCCGCTATCTGATTTTCTCATATGTATGACCGCATTCAGCAGCCAGACCTGGCAGAGCCAAGCTAAGATCAGTGTATGGAAAGGCTTCCACATTTCCTAGGTCTGTCAAAAGTAAAGTTAGAAGGGATCTTCAGAGGTCACTTGTTTGCTGCCCCATCCTCCAGCAGGATCAATGCAAGATAAACCTTTCCTGCTAGGGATGGGATTGCACGGTGCCCCTAGCAAAATCTAGTCGAGTGCTTCTGGGGTTTTACAGTTAAAAAGTTTTTTCTTAATTTCTTATCTTATGTGTGTGTATATATATGCAACTATATATACATACATGCATACATTTATACATGCTTATGCATATGTATGCGCATACATAAGGTTATATATGTATAAACATATAGTGAAATTGTAGATCCATCACAGTTTGGGGTTTTAAAAAGTCTTTTAAGAAAATAGCTGAACAAATATAGAAAGTAGAAACACTCATAGCAGGTTCTTGAAGCGACACAGTCTTTTATTTTCCTCATTTACCCCCTTTACCTAGATTCTAAATTTGTGATTATTGGTCTTTTGTAGGAGCATGTGGAAAATTTGCAGAGATGTATTACTGTCAGCTCTTTACACAGATCAAAAATGGTCTGTGCAGATGGGGCTTTGGAAGGGAATGCTATCTGTTTCTTCAGGAAATTAAATGCACAAATTCTTTTTGCGTCCTTCCAGCTGTAATAAATAGCTGAAGGACTCAGTCTGTGGCTGTTTCTCTGAGCTTTCCCCTAATGGATCATTCAGATGAATAATTCAAAGGAAACATTTAAACTATTTCGAAGTGCACGTGTTCAAAATGCACATGTTCAAAAACTGCAAAGTACATCACATCACATCCCTGTTCCGGTCATTTTCTATCAACGTAAATCCACGGTCTGACATCCTGGATCAGGAATTTGTGGGGTTTTTTTCTATGTGAGAAGCGTCTGCAAAAAAACCAGCTCCCCTCACCTGACCAGTTAACATGAATAGCTTGTTACATGGAGGGCGATAGATCATATAAAGCTCTTATTTTCCTAGAGCGAGTGGTAGAAATAAAGTGAGAACGGCAGGGAACTCTGTCTCAGCTTTCTGGAGGAAGACGTTTTCTTCTTTTTTATACATTTCTGCACAGGACTGGAGGAAGATTGGATGCCATGAGAGAATGAATGGCATCTCAGCAAGCTCCCTCAGCCCACTCCTGTCCTCCGGCCATAGGAGATGGGAGCGTGCAGGCAGTGCCCTGTTGGTAGGACAACCCCAGCAGACAGACGTGGTAGCAGAAATCCATTGACAAGTTGAGCAGCTCAAACTGGGAAAACTCAGGGTTTAGCTCTAGTCACCTGAGTTTTTGTAATGAGTGGTGTGTTCCACATTTGAACTCTTATCAAGAGAAACCTTGAGCAGTATGGATCTTATTTGCACTTTGCTTAATCTCTTGTTTTATAGTCAGAAAGAAGTTCACCATCAGCTGAAATTTTTGTAAGATCCCCTAGATTAAATATAATTTCAAATGCCATTTGTTTTAGAAAACGAACTTGTATCTAAACTGAAGGTGATCCAACAGTTGAATGCAACTTGGTTTTTACTATGTTATCCTTGGCTTTTTGCTTGCTTTGCACTTTTACCTCCTAATATTTTTTTTTAAAAAAGGAAAACTGACATGCAGTGCATCAGCAGTGTAGGCCAGTCGCTGAGCACCTCGTGCTATACCTTATGCTTCTTGCTGGAAGTGTTTCCAGGACTACCTGTGCTCTACTGGTGCTTCCCATTGAATTGTCCTCTGGAGCAGCCAAGTGCCACAACGGGCTCTTGGATGCACAGGGGCAGCTTCATGCTGGAGAGTTTTCACCTTTGGGTTAGATGCCCCTGTGTCAAACGTTCTCCCTGTCCCTGCAATGAAGCCAGGAGTTACCTATTCCTAACCACTGTGCCCAGGCCCTTGGAGCTGTAGCGGTCTGCAGGGTGCTTCCGTGCGCTTTGGGTGGGATGCCCAGGGTGGGATGCTGGACCAGGGATGCGGATTCAGGGAACATTTTTACCTGGCTTATGGCCTCCTCTGCGTACTCTCTCCCTGAGCTGTCATGTGGGTAACTAAAAACGGGCATCTTTCTACTGAAAAAAAAATCTGATTATGTATCTTGTGTGTCTCTGATTTTAGGATGAAATTTTGACGGTCATCAGGAGGGTAGATGACAACTGGGCAGAAGGAATGCTGGGTGACAAGATTGGCATTTTCCCTATCCTCTACGTTGAGGTAAGTTCATAACAGCTGGTAGTGGGTGCCGGTCTTACCGAGGGCGGGATAATCTTGAAAATTCTCAAATGAGAAGGACAAATTATACCAGAATAACTGAAAAGTGAGGTTTTTTTGGTTGGTGTCCGCTAAGCCACTGTCAGGGTACACTCGATTCAATTTAAAGTGGCCAGCAAAATGTATAGGACATACATGTTGGAGGCTCCTACTGTTGGAGGCTTCCCGTGCAGTGTTTCTGGTGTAATCTTGTCGTGGTTTAACCCCAGCCAGCAACTAAGCACCACCCAGCCACTCACTCACTCCCCCCCCATCCAGTGGGATGGGGGAGAAAATCGGGAAAAGAAGTAAAACTCGTGGGTTGAGATAAGAACGGTTTAATAGAACAGAAAAGAAGAAACTAATAATGATAATGATAACACTAATAAAATGACAACAGTAGTAATAAAAGGATTGAAATGTACAAATGATGCGCAGGGCAATTGCTCACCACCCGCCGACCGACACCCAGCCAGTCCCCGAGCGGCGAATCCCTCCCCCCCCCACTTCCCAGTTCCTAAACCAGATGGGACGTCCCATGGTATGGAATACACTGTTGGCCAGTTTGGGTCAGGTGCCCTGGCTGGGCATGAGAAGCTGAAAAATCCTTGACTCTAGTCTAAACACTACTGAGCAACAACTGAAAACATCAGTGTTATCAACATTCTTCACATACTGAACTCAAAACATAGCACTGTACCAGCTACTAGGAAGACAGTTAACTCTATCCCAGCTGAAACCAGGACAAATCTCCACAATCCATAGGGAAAATAGGGGAGGATGACCGCAGTCGGGGTATCTTGCACGCACCTGAGGAGAGGTGGGTGCTGCTGGCAGGTGGGGAGCAGCGGTGCAGGCTCAGCCATGCCCTGAAAGCACAGACCTTTGGAGGGACGTTTTGGGTGTCCCCTGCCCCAGCAGGATCTCGGGCAGCTCCACGCATTGCGCCCAAGGTCTCTCATTCCCTGTACGCCGGTCCCATACTTTGTCCGGAGCACTTTCCCGCGGTCATTTCCATGGGAGGCTTATTCCGGAGTGAATGCTGAGACTTCACGTCCTCCAAGCAGACCCGTTGTGCCACCTCTTCTCCCTGTGCCCTCTTGCTGGTGCCCGTCCAGCTGGATGGTGCTGGGGAGAAGAACTGCAGCCAGCGGTGGTGGCCCGCTGGAGCAGCTCTTTTGTCCAGGTGCCAGGCCATGCCTTTCCTCCTTCAGGGGTAAACCAGGGGTGCAAAGAACGGATGGGCACTACACGCATATGTATTTCTTCGAGGTGCTGCCACTCGGCGCCCGGTACTTGGAGCGGTATCATCCTGACTCTGCTCCCGAGCGTAGGCTGGTGCCGCTGTCCGGAGTGAAACGGCGGAGCCTGCCCTACTGTGTGTGGCTCTGATGCCTGCCTCCAAAATTACTTCTCCAGATTTCTTAGTTACTGATTTGAAACAAAATAGAGATAATTACTGCCTGACTACCTAATTATTAACTCCAACAATGACCAATTTGGAATAAACCATCATTAATATACATTGCGTTCCCACGGTTGACAAGAACAATAATATTAAAACCAGAATGTGTAGGAGCCATTATTGGGAAAGCAGCTGCCTCACATAAGTTAATGACTAGTTTTCTTCTGTTCTGAATGTGTAAGACATTTTCAGTTTGTTGTGATTAAATGAGAAAGCTGGGTTTCTCCCAGATTTCATCCTTTTTCCCTTCTCTTTCTTGTCCCGGGGGAGCGCGATGTTACTGTCCTGAACTTTGCTGCAGAAAAAGTGAATTGGGGACCTCCACGCAGCCAGCCACCGTTGCACCCCACCACCTTTCCCCAGCTCTAGTTTTTCCTGCGGGCTGGAGGTGCTGGCACTACCTACACAGCCTACAGCATCCTGATCCCTCTCCCACCCCTAGGTATCCGTTCTCCTTAATTACTGCTCTTCCAGGGTGGAGGGCTCGAAGCCTCAGAGGAAAACCCCTTTGGGAACACAGGTAGTGATGTCTCACTGAAGTTCTTCAAGCACTAGCATGGCCTGAGTGGCCATGGAGGAGCAGGAGGTAGGTCTGTGCAGAGTCAGAACAGCAATGCTGGAAGTTTCTAAAGAGATGCAAACAGCCAGATAGCCAGCACCAGGGGAGAAGACCGCACGTAGGAATGTGTGTGTGCATATACATTCATATAGACACAAACATATATAAAATAAATACAACTATATACATTCATGCATATATTTGTGTATATACACACACACACATATATGTTTTATCTGTATAAATTTGAAATCTGGAGCCTTGAAAGGCCTTTTCAAATGAGATGCTTGGGTGACATGGGCATAATATTTGTGCCGTAGTTTGTAAAGCCAAAGGGAAACGATCCCCCAACAGAAACATCAGCCACCTATTTCATCCACGTCCCAGTGGATGGAGGCCTTGTTCTGAGTATGAGATGAGCTTACGCAACCATTGGAGTTATACAATGATGTTGCTGTTGCCAGCTTCAGATGTTACTTTACATTAAAAATTAAGAGGAATCAGCAGGCCAAATCCCAAAGAAGTTTTGAAAATCTCAATGCCAATGTTTATAAAATAAATGCATTAAACAAGTAGTACTTGAATCTAAAAACACTCTTTGAGCCTGTCCAAGTCCATTAAGTGGTTTTCAGAATCTTGGCAAAACGTGCAGCATAAGCAAAGCTTAACTCTCACGGTAGCCTTCCACTTGGCGTGAGCCCATCGGCCAAAGCGCGTGGGATTTCGCGTGGCATCCAAAGCCCTGCGCTCCGGATGGAGCCGATTCCAGCCTGGAGCGCATCCCTGATGGCAGGCTCTAATGTCCTCAGCTGCTCCCACGGCCCGGACAAGAGCTCTTACCCTTCCCACGGCAGCCAGAGCGTTAGAAAACCAACCGGTCACTTCAGGGGTCTTAGAGCTGAGCGTGCCAGAGCTACGAACGGGGGGCTGTAATCCTCGTTGTGGCCCCTCTTCGGTGAGACTTCGTCCTGGCCATGTGCTGCCATACCCCTCGCACGGACGCTTGCAAGAAAGTTTTTTTGCTCCGTTACGAAGCGTTTGCGCCCGTAAGCGGCAGCGGGGTGGGAAGGAGGGGTGGCTGTACCGCAGCCCTGCTGGGGCGATGGGCAAATTCCCCATCCGGACCCCAGTGGTCTCCCAGCACTTGGGCTGGTCAGCTGGCGCCTGTCGAAGCCTGTGGTTGTCCGTACGGCTGTAGAAGCGTAACGTGGCGTGGATTTTGTGCTTTATTCCCTACAAGCGTCCAGCAAGGGTGCTTTGCGTGCCTGCTGTGTCTGACAGCTCTCCGCAGAGAGGCTTTTTCCTGCCTCTGTAGTGTCATCTCCGTCCCAACCTCAGAGAAGCTACAGTTGTAAAAGGAATAAATATTTGCAGCTCACAATGGTGACTTTTGCAGAATGAGTCACACACAATATGTTCTGTCAGGGAGAGTTTACACTATTTTTTTTCTTATTTTGTTGTTGTCCTTCATCACCAGTAGAAGTCATTTGGGCTGGTAATTTATGTTTTAATTCGTCTACAGAAAAACACAACATAATCAAATTGATTCTCAAGGTGCCTTCTGTCCTGAAATAAATACCTTATTAATAATCTGTATGGTTTGAAGTCATAGTCTTGCTGGGAGGAGTTTTGGACCTGCAAGGAATTCAAAGTCCTAACTAAATTTCTTTTATTTTACTGTCTTCAAGCTAGCTCCTTCATTCTTAATAACTGCTGTTATTATCTCTTGTTTGGAAGTTGTAAGTATTGTGCTGCTACGTGTAAAATTGAGAATAATGAAGAACAAAGTGTGTCCTAATAGATTTAAGTGTCTGGGAATGAAATCTGAGGGCAATGGTGTGCCGAGTATTTGGAGGGACGCATCCTGCTCAGTCAGGCAGGAACTGGAAATTCAGAAAGCTGAGCTGTTAGACCAACATTTCTGACTGCAGCCCCCACTGCAAAGAAGTATTGACCAAGATCAAGAAGCCTTACGAGTCAGTGGTAGAGCGAGGCAATTATGTCGAGCGCTACTGTGACTGTAATATCAGCAAATTACAATTGATGAAGTGCCAGCCCATTGTTATAATGTTTTATGGCAGCAGGGGCACTGAAAGCTGTGATTAAGTAATATTAGGAGTTTTAAAATTCTTTTTACAGAGCAGTGAAGCAGGGTAATGGGGATCTTCTCCTGTTCTTCACAGTCAAAAAGAGAAAAAGGTGGAAAGGAGGTCTAGGAGAAAGAGGGAGGAGGAGAATGGGCAGGAGCTGGTGATTTCAGTGCCCTGCAGCATGGATCCGCAAGACTGCCCGGAGACCCAGGGGAAAAGAATTCTTGCAATTCAGTGTTTAAAAAGTGTTCAGCCAAAAGCGAAAAAAATAAAATCCAAAGCCAAATGCATTTCTTAAAGAAAACAGTGATTCTTCATTCCAAAATCGGCTTTGCAGAGCAGAGCACCACATTTAATGATTTTTGTGCTGTACCACTGGATCTACCAATCGTCCTGGAACAGCTTAACCCGTACAGGGGAACCTGAGCACGTTTGCCAGGATCCCAGCTGTGGTCATCATCAGCATCACAGAGACCCATCTACCCAGCTGAATTTGTCCTTAACTGTGTCACTATGTACTTTGCTGAGGGTAACCTTTAGCTAGCCTGCAGATGAATGCAAATGGTTGAGAGATTAGTGCGTGTGTCCGTCCGGGTGTGTGTTCAGTTAATCTGACGACTTGGGGGTTTCCAGGAGGAGATGCAGGGAACCACTCTGAAAGGAGCAAAGCCTTTCCCGTAGCCCAGCCCATAGACCTGCTTGACTTTGGGATTCTTCAACATTTTCCTGCAGTGTGGCCCCCAGTCTGCATTCAGTCTGGATGGCAGATTTGGGGGTTATTTTCTCTATATACAGATTCCCAGCTTAGCTCTTTCCAAATATCCTGGTGTCCCCAGTGGCAGTTATCACA